GACTATTCAGATCTTGGAGGATATGCTAAGGGCTTATGTTATGGATTTTAGAGTTGGTTGGAGTAAGTTCCTACCATTAGTGGAATTTACTTACAACAACAGTTATCAGGCTAGCATAGAGATGACACCTTATGAGGCTTTGTATGGTCGGAAGTGTAGATCACCAGTTTGTTGGTTTGAGATTGGTGAGAAGAGGCTAATGGGACCAAAGTTAATTTAGATTACCTTAGAGAAAATAGAGGTAATTAGAAATAAGCTTCAAACAACTCAGAGTAGACAAAAGAGTTACGCAGATAGAAGAAGGTGTGACTTAAAGTTTTCAATGGGTGATTGTGTGTTTTTAAAAGTATCACCGACAAAAGGAGTATTCAGGTTTGGGGCAGTTGAGTCCTCGATTTATTGGACCGTATGAGATTCTAGAGAGAGTTGGGGCAGTTGCTTATAAGTTAGCATTACCACAAACTTGTCTGCTATTTATCCGGTATTTCATGTTTCCATGCTAAGGAAGTATATGTCAAATCCATTGCATGTATTAGAGGTTTATCCCATTAAATTGAGAGATGATATGGTTTATGAGGTGCAACCAAAAGCTGTAGTCGACCGACAAGTGAGAAAACTTAGGTCAAAGAATATAACTTTAGTGAAAGTGAAATGGAAAGGCCATTCACATGAGGAAACAACATGGGAGCTTGAGGATAAGATGCGTGAGGAGTATCCTCATCTTTTTGATAATCTCGGTAAGTATTCAAACTTTTCTATTAAGTTTCGAGGACGAAACTTTTATAAGGTGGGGAGATTGTAATATTTTGTATTAAAAGATAGGAAATGACAACAAAGCCCTTGGTGACTTAAAGTGTGGGTATAAATGAATGAGGGGTAGTGTGGTAATTAAATAAATATAAATAGAAAAGAAAACAGAAAAGGAATCTGAAAATTTGAGAGAGAATCGGCAGGAGAGAGGAGGGAGAAAAAAGAAGAAGAGAAAAGAGGGAAATTAGAAGCGAAATAAAAAAGAGTTGAAGGAAATAAGTTTAAAGGTAAGATTTAGGTTGTTAAATGTATAAATATATGTTATTGAGCTTTTAATTTCATTTGTGATGAATGTTAGGGTTGTGAAAATTTGTGTTTTAGGTTTGATTGATGCATTAATTGAATGTTATGGGTTGATTGTTATGGGTAATGGATTAATTGGGTGATTTTGAGAGATTGAATTGAAAGATGATGATTTTGAGTTATGATTTTATTTGAATGGTGAAATTGTGTTATAAATTTGGAAAGAACAGTAGGTTTCTGTTGAAATACAGGGTTGGAGGTTGAAGATGACAAAAATTCAATTTGGTCCCTCAATTTTGGAAAATTACAGGTTAGTCCCCAAACTTTGGAAAATTAACGATTGGTCCCTGGAGCATATTATGAGATTCTAAACAGAATAACATATGAATTATGGGCAAAATTACTATATAGTAATGAAATTTTAACACTTTCAATTTAGTCCTCCAATTTGACAAAAATTACCATTTGACCCTAAAATTTTGGTAAAATTCCAGAATGGTCCCTGGAGTATAATGAGATATTCTGGACAGAATTGAGGATTAATTATGATCATAATTTCAGCATATTCATGGATTCATGACAAATTTTAGTTTGGTCCTCCATTTGACAAAAATTACAATTTGACCCTACAAATTTGGAAAAATTCCAGAATGGTCCCTGGAGCATAATTAGAGGTTATGGACAGAAATGAGGATGAATTATGAACATAATTCCACTATATTCATGAATTTAGGATACGTTTAGTTTGGTCCTCTAATTAGACAAAAATTACAATTTAGCCCTAAAAATATGATAAATTTCATATTAGTCCCTAGCTATGATGTTGGCTTTTTCAGATTGGTTTGATGAATAATTTAGGGTTATTTAGTGAATTATTACCAATTTTATTATTTGTTTTATTATGGATTAGATTTCGAGAAAACCGTTAATTTTTGGGTTTTGAGGAAAATAACTAATTTAGTCTAAAAACATATAGGGTTATGGAATAGACCCTTAGTTAAGTGTATTAAATAGGTTATATGTTCTTTTGAGTCATTCTTGAATATGTTTTCTCTATATTCAGATAATCCTGATATTCTACCGGCAGGACGTCAGTAGGATTTTCTTCGGTGTTTGCTTTTGATTTCTGTTTGCTTTCGAGTCAGGTGAGTGGATAATTTTCCATATGCATGAGAAATATTATAAATATTTGATTTATTAATATGAATTGGATCATGCTTCTTGATAATATATATGGTGATTATTATCCTTGTTATGATAAAGCATGATTAATTGTTGAATCTGAATTCTTGATATGAACCAATATATATTTTGAATTGACTTCTGAATTAATAGCTGCTCATTTGATTAATTTCATGAGTTGAGTCTTGAGATATAAATATGTTTATTTCATTATGATTATGAACCTATGGTATGTTAGTCAGAATACCCTTGCTAACAGGGTAGTGTTAGTCTTTGTGCACATCGTATCTGAACCCTAGTTGGTCGGGGGAGTCACCAACCTGTGTGGACTGATCATCCCACAATGCGGAGCTTTATGCTTATTGCATTTTTATTTTCTAACGAGTTTTACCATATGATATTCTTGTTATGACATATTTGACAAACCTTTCTATAAGAACCTAGAGCCATACTTGTATATATATTTCTCATTGCTATATTACCTTGTGTGTGTATATTGAACGTTATCCACTCACTGAGTTGTTGAACTCACACTCTCATTATTTATCCTTTTTAGGCTTATAGCTTGATAGCAAGTCACTTTTGTTGGACCTTCAGAACCTGCTCTTTTGGTTGTAAATTTGTATATTTTTCTTTATATCTAGTTAGTGCTCCAAAACTATGAAATTATATTAACTCTTATATTAAGACAATTCAATTATTATGAAGTTGATTTTGTTATTAATGCTGCGTTGAACTCTGATTGAGTTAAGATAAGTTTGTATGTAAGGTTGGGTTCGTATAGGCATGGAACCTTGGAGGGGAACCTTGCTTATGTGCCGGTCATGGACTTGTATTTTAGGTCGTGACAGTTTAATCCTTAAATTAACATTACATCTCAAAATTCTCTCTAACTCGTTATTATTATCATTATATAGTTAATATCCTTGTGGTTTGATCCCGGTCTTGTTGGGTTATTTATTATTTTGACACCCTTGCATTTAGGGGTTTAGATATCAATCTTTTAGTTGTATCAACATATAACAAAATTAAAGCATAACGTTCTCTATATAATATAATTTAATGATCTTAAGTTGAAGGATCTCTTACACAATCATAACATGAGTCTTTTTATAAATATAAATGATCTTTTTATATGAAATTTTCATACAAGTCAGATCAATGTAAATGTCTTATGACAAACATCAACATAATAATTTTATGTATATTTTATACTTCAACTTATGAGAACAAGTACTCCATTTCATAAAGTAAAGAACATAATATATATTAGTCACTATAATCCTAATAAATATTTAGTATTTAAGAAAGCATTAACCATGAACCCAATGTTTTGATACAACAAGAATCATATAATTTTAATAACTTTATGATTTTTTTTATAAAATATTTTTGTCTCATCAACTTTATTTTTAGTTTTGATTCATAAATTAAATATTAAATTTATTAATATAATATTATATAAATATTAAATTAAATGTTTATTAATAATAAATATTTATTTATATAAATACTATATTATTATATATAATCAATTGATTGATTAGTTAAAAAAATATATATTAAACTAACGTCGGATGCCACCAAATAACCATGAGTGGATAAATTTCTTAAATACATATTCACTGGTTGCCCTTTTTTATGAAAAAAATAATCACACCAAATTATAAAAAAATAATTGCAGAGTGAAGAGTTGTAGCAAACCAAACTGAAGGATGCACAAAAGGACAATTTGTTAACTGGAGGACATCATCGGCAATGCCAAGGAGGCTCTCCAGTCATAATTTTTAAATTCGGTTTGTTTAAAATTCAAGTTTTAGGTTTTCATCATGTTACTAATCAGTTGGTTCAATCTTTATTTTTTTTAAAAAATTTAAAATAACATTATTTTAATAAAAAATAAAAAATAAAAAATTATAATTAAATTTTATTATATTAATCAGTATATTAATCAGGTTATTTGATCAACTTACCTAATCCAATGAATTACACCAGGTCATAAATTATTTTATTTTTTTAACCTAAGTTTTAAACCTAGATTAATTTATTAGACTGAATTCAGTTTTAAAATTATATTTTAAATAACTAAAATAATCTAATTTTATTAGGGTATTTACTTTCATTTTGAACAATCTCAGGAAAATAAAAATTTGGTTAATGCCTTAATTTATCTTTATATAATAAGATAATTCTTCAAAATGTCCAGAACGTCTGGCTCGCGTGGCTTCGTGGTTTTTGGGCCAAAATGATATTACATTATTATTTAGTGAAAGCCCCGTCAAATCTCCTCATTCTAATAAAAAATTCAAAAAATTAATTAATTAGAACAAATTACAAAAAAATTGAAAATATTAAACTATAAAAAATTTGATTAAACTAATAATTTTTTTTAAAAAAATCAACTTGTTTAATTTTATAAACATGAAATCAAAAAAATAAAACCAAATTTAAATTAAAAAATAAAATAAAATAAAAAAATTAATACAAAATCATAACAAAACTGAGTCAGATTAAAAAATAAACCAAAATAAATTAAATTTTATTAATTCAGTTTGAATTAATTTTTATTTTAAAATAATTAAATTAAATTAAATTAAAATTAATTAGTTTGATTTTTTTTAATTTCACTTCGATTACTCTTTTTTTATTTGAAAAAACGCAACAAAAAATGATATCCATATTCTCAAGCCAAACCAACACAATATTATATTATTAATTTAATGGTCGAGTTAAATTACCCGCAACAGGTCTCGTTAAATCATATGCCAAGCAATACAAGCCCAAAACCCCTGTTGGCGGTGTTGCAACGGATAAGAAGGGAAAAATATGCCCCGCCGTGTCTGTGGCTGATCTCTCAATCCCCTTTACACCTATTTCTCTCATTTCCGGGGTTTCTTACACTCGGTTGCGGAATTCTTTGTTTGTGAGTTTTAGACTAGGGTTAGGGTTTGCTTTGCATAATGGCAACCGCATCAGGTTTGTATTTTTATGTGATTTTGATTGGGATGCTGATTTCTTGACATTAGCTTTGGAATATTGGTATTTCTTAGACAAAATATTGATATTTATAAATTTAGCTATTATTTGGATTTGTTTTACGTTAATTGATGTCGAAATAGGGGCGTAACAGATTCTGATTATATACAAAATAAAATAAATATGAAAGAATTTGCAGCATGGTTGAGATTTAAGTCTCGTTTCGGTCGGTCTGTCTTGCAGTTGCATTTAAGTCTAGAGAGGACCATAGGAAGCAGATTGAATTGGAAGAAGCGCGTAAGGCGGGGCTTGCCCCTGCTGAGGTTGATGAGGATGGAAAGGAGATTAATCCTCACATTCCTCAGTATATGTCATCTGCACCTTGGTATCTCAATGCCGAGAAACCTGTAAGTTGCTTGCACCATGCTTTTTTCGCTGTTATGCTTCTTTTTGTGGAAAGGATAAATCTTGATTTTGATTATTTTTGTTGATAAGTAGAGCTTGAAACATCAAAGGAAGTGGAAATCAGATCCTAATTATACAAAGTCATGGTATGATAGAGGTGCAAAAGTTTTCCAGGCTGAAAAATATAGAAAGGGTGCATGCCACAAGTAAGTGATGTCTGTGTATATGTGTGCAGTCTTTGCCTGACATTTGAGCTTGCATGTCATTCAATTTCATTTTTGTCTTAAGATGATCATTTATCCTCTTGTATGAGCTACAGCTGTGGAGCTATGACACATGCTGCAAAGTCATGCGTGGAAAGGCCCAGGAAAGTGGGTGCAAAATGGACTAACATACACATAGCCCCTGATGAAAAAATAGAGACTATTGAACTTGATTATGATGGCAAGCGAGACCGGTGGAATGGTTATGACCCATCAAGCTATACCCATGTTGTTGAAAGATATGAAGCTCGAGATGCGGCTCGAAGGAAGCATGTGAAGGAACAACAACTTAAAAAATTGGAGGAGAAAAACGGGAACCAAAATGCTGAGGATGGGGTTAATGATGTTGACAATGATGAGGATGATTTAAGGGTAGATGAAGCCAAGGTTGACGAGAGCAAACAAATGGACTTTGCAAAGGTTGAGAAGCGCGTGCGAACAACAGGTGGTGGGAGCACAGGAACTGTTAGGAATTTGCGTATTCGTGAGGACACAGCAAAATATCTTTTAAATCTTGATGTTAACTCTGCGCACTATGATCCCAAAACCCGGTCCATGCGCGAGGATCCTCTTCCAGATGCAGATCCAAACGAAAAATTCTACGAGTTAAGTGCTCTTGAGAGTAGGAAATTCGTAAATAGCTACGCAACTTCATTGATATGCTGTGAGCCCTAAACGGTATTTTTATTAAACATCTCTTTTTAAATGTTACAGGGAGATAACCAATATAGGAATAGTGGTCAAGCATTGGAGTTCAAGCATCTCAACATCCATGCTTGGGAGGCATTTGAGAAGGGACAAGATATTCACATGCAAGCAGCTCCATCACAAGCTGAGTTGCTATATAAAAATCATAAGGTCATAAAAGATAAGTTGAAGACCCGAACAAAGGACACTATTATGGAGAAGTATGGCAATGCGGCTAGTGAAGAGGAAATTCCAAGAGAACTTCTATTGGGACAGAGTGAAAGACAAGTTGAATATGATCGGGCAGGGCGGATCATCAAGGGGCAGGTAAATATTGAAACAACAATTAGTTTTTTTGTTACAGATAATTGATCATATTTCTGTTTTCATGGAGAAGCTGTGATGAACCTTGTTTTCTATCATCAAATACTAGTATGGTTCACGAGAACCATGGTTTTATTTTGGTCCTTGGTTAATATGGGACAATTTATCTGCAAAACTCTTCAAAAAAAAATTGTCGTTGTTCCTGTTATCTCTGTTACTTGAACTTCAATTCTGAGCCACATTACCTTTGTAGACACAACATGATGCAGAATGGGTAGTGGTACAAAATTAAGGTCAGACCTGGCAATTTAACTTTGATGCATCAATGAAAGAGGAACAGGGGCTCACTAGTGTTACTGATATTCTCATCAACTTTGGATGGCGGAGAGGTAGAGAAAGCATTAAGAAAAGGACAACAAGAGCCGATGATTGTAAGAGAAATAAAAAGAGAATCTGGTCACTTTGAGTGTTTCTTGAGACTTGCAGCTGCAATTGTTTCAAGTTACGCTGTCTCGCAATAGATATAAATTCTCTTTTAATATCACTAATATAATACTTAGGATAAAAAAGAGGCCACTTCAGCCTCATTTGAAGCTCTACCCAGCACTACAAATGCCCCTAGTGGGATTTGCAAGAGGCTTGTGCCTGCTCAATCAAGTGCCCAAAGCCCCCCAATGTTTAAAGAAAATACTCAGCCTTGTACTATTTGCCACCCATGATTACATACCCTCTACCAGTCCAAACAAAATAGCTTCCAGTTCTTATTCTATCTACAAAGATGGTGAAAGGCTCAAGCTGAAAAAGAGCCATGACATATCGAACTTTTTTTTTCATCTGCATAAATAAGTGTTGTAATTGCTCTGTCCAATGCTATTTACAGGAGACTGTACTTCCTAGAAGCAAGTATGAAGAAGATGTTCTCATTAATAATCACACAACTGTGTGGGGGTCATGGTGGAAGGATCATCAATGGGGCTACAAGTGCTGCAAACAGATGATTCGGAACAGTTATTGCACAGGTGCTGCTGGAATAAAGGCTGCTGAGGCTGCAACTGATCTTATGAAGGCTAATATTGATCGTAAAGAGGCAACTAAAGGTTTGCCTCAGTTCTGTCCGTTGCTATTAGACCTTGCCTGGACCCAGCTGAGTTCCTGGGTCATTGGTTGTCAGTTCAACCTCTATGTTAATAATTCAACTGCTGGTTCCATAAAATAATTAAAAATATAGAGCTTTTCAAGTAATATTTAATATGTCATGACATGAAACAGTTTTTCTAACCTATAATTAACATACAAAGCATTGCAAGTTTTTTTTTTTTTATCCTCAAAGGACCAGTTTTTTTTTATTGTTAATACATACAATATCATGTGATTTGAGGGTTCATTGTAAAAGTTTGCTTCTTTAAACTTAATTTTGACTTTGTTATTTGTAATTTTGGATGATGTGCGGATCATATTTTCTGGTGGAAAATTGTTGATTTAGATTCCATGAACATTATAAGCCTGTAGTCTTAAAAGTATTGATCAATTGATTGTCAAGGGTTTTAGGCTAAATAAAATTTTTAAGTCTTCATAAGCTAAATGTAAATGTGGCTAGATTTCTATGTCTTATTCTGCATTACACATGGGAAACAGAGGCACCTGCACCAGTGGAGGAGAAACAGCTTGCTACTTGGGGAACTGAGGTTCCAGAAGATTTAATTTTGGATGAGAAGTTACTCGCTGAAGCGCTTAGAAAGGTGAATAAGAACAAGCCCTTTTAAATCATTTGGGAAATTATTAGGTGCTCCTAATGTATCGTTCCTCCCACTCTCATTAATCTGGGACTCTTGATATGGTTGCCCCACCTTTATGCGAGCTGGGGGGCAATAAGTAGGAGTACCTGATAATCTCTAGTTGTTTTTTTCTTCTTTCTTGTTCTTTATTTTGTTTGCTCAGTTCGTTGGTGAAGTGGGCAATTGGTGCTGTTCGTAAGTCTGTTAATTTTCTTGATTTGGCCATAACTATAGAATCTGTTCTGCTTTTTTGTGAACGGTATTTAGTTCTATCCAGAACCTGAAAGGTTGGGATATGTTACAGTTCAACATTTTGCTCTTTGAGGTATGCCATGGTCGCTAATGCTTATTGCACATGAATTGCTTGGACAGGAAGATGAAAGAAAGAGAGAGGTTAAAGATGAGAGAAAGCGGAAATACAATGTCAGTTGGAATGATGAGGTAACATTCGGATTAGCGGCACTCGTGATTTGAATGTTGGACCATGAGTTGTGCTGTTATAGGGTTTGATCACTCAATGTCTTAATCATTACAGGTTACTGCTGAAGATATGGAGGCATACAGGATGAAGAAAGTCCATCATGACGACCCAATGAAGGATTTCCTCCATTAAACTTTTGCTGTATTTAGTTGTAGCGTGCTTCTTCTCTCCCCTTCAGCTTGGTATGCTTTTGTACTTCTTTAATAAACACTGATTAATAATATAAGATGAGATGGCTGATTGATTGTTATTGTGATGAATCGGATAACTACAAGGACACCTAAGATAAGCAATAGACTTGCTCTATTATGGGGTACTTGATAGATCTGTTGGCTAATTGTAAAGAGACTGTAGTGGACTTTACTTCTCCAAGATCTAATTTCCAAAAATAAATAAGGTACAAGATTAATACCTGCCTCTAAATCCCGTGATGCTTTCTCAAAATAAGAATTCCCTGTAATGCAAGGAATTTGAAAACTCCCTGAACCTTTCAATCTAGGAGGCAACTTCTTTTGTGGAATTGCATTACTCTCCTTAGTTAACATTATCTTAGTTAACATTATCATCTCATGCTCTTTTAACTTCTATGTTTTTTGATAAAATATTCTTAAAAGATTAGGCATATTTAGGCATTTGCTCAATAGCTTCAATAATAGGAATGTTAATATTTTATTGCATAAAGATACTAAAAAATTTAGAGAATTGATTATCAAGCTTAATATTCTTTAGCCTATGATGAAAAGGAATAAGTGAATCAAAGATTAAAGGAGAATTAGTATTAGATATAAACTCCCTGGAATTCTTGAGCTTTGAAGCTTCATTTTTCTTTGAAATTTTAGTTGATTATTTGCACTTCCAATTCGTCCATCTTCTACCAGTCTTCTCATGATCATCAACTTTATCTTACTTATTGTTTGTGGCTGCTTTATTATCCTTCCACTTCTTAATGATATTACTAACATGTTTCTCAGTATTGATAATAGTATTACTTGGTAAAGTTCCTTGTGTTCTCTTTGTAAGAATGTGTAACTGATGAATAATTTGAGCTTCAATGTTACGAATCAAAGCTAACTTGTTTTGGATTGCCAAATTTATATTTTGCATGTATTACATGAACATTTCTTTATATGCTAGCTCCTTTTGTTATTATGGAAAATTTTGAGGTGGTTTAGCTACCTCTTGATTGTTGCTTTATAAAAAATTAGGGTGATTTCTCTATTCATGATTAAATGAGTTTGAATGAGGATTATTTTAATTTTGAAAATTGGATATGTAATTAACTTTCTTGGAATTTGGTAAAGCAGAAGGCTTCTTCATATGGCAAATGATACTTAAGTGATTTCCTGCACAATAATCATATAATATTAGTTTAAATAATATTAACATTCATCTTACCTAATTATTTAAACTGAGTTGTTATTTGTGCTGCCAATGTGGTAATACAATCAAGTTCAAAAACTTCAGCTGCCTTTCTTCACATTACGCTCACAAAAGGCCATTGATAGTTGTTGGATGTCAATTTTTCTAAAAATTCATCAATTGCTTCATGAGTTTTACTCGTTAAAGCTTATCAAGCATTGTATTAACCATCAACATGTTTGTAGCTCTTAAACCATTGTAGAATATTTGGACTTGAAACCATGCTAAAAGTTCATGATATGGACACTTTTTTAACGAAACTTTATATCTCTCTAATGCTTCATACAAAGATTCATTCTCAAATTGAGTAAATATGGTAGTATCATTCTTTAGCTTGTCTTGGCTAGAGGAAATACTTTTTCTAAAATGTTTTGTGCTAATTCCTCCCTAATAGTAATGACACCAGGTTGTAGAGAATTTAGTCATGCATTCTTTTTTTCTTGAAGTAAAAAGGGAGAAGTCTCAAATAAAGAACATTATCTACCACTCTGTTTTGCTTGTGTTACATATCTTTAGAAAAAAATACGATATAAACATTATGATCCTTTTGTGACAACCCCTCAAATTGAATAGTTTGTTGTATCAATTAAATCATCGATAGTTTAATCTCAAAATTATTAGCTTGTATAGCTAGCCTATTTATGCTTAATGCAAACCCATTAACTGAAGGTATAAAATAGTTCCTTAAAGCTCCATCCACCTTTTCATTTTGCAACTTTGCCATGGTAATGGCTAATATAGTTATTTCTTAGTTTTTTTATTAATCTCACATAAATTTATCTTAATATCAGGATAAAAAAAAGGATAAAAAAAGTATAGGATCTAATGATTTAGAATAAGGTATACATTTTTAATTTTGAAATAAAAATAAAAGCAAAATTAAGATATAATCAAAGAAGCAGAAGCAACAGCAACAACAATAACAACAATAAATCTAAATTAGTAATAATCTAACTAGTATAAATATCAATAAATCTAAATTAGTAATAATTTACTAGTATAAATATCAATAACAAAATATTAATCCCTAACAACGGTGCCTTATGCCTCTTATTCTTGGCAAATCATTGATTCTATGTCTGATGATATCTGAAAAAACAATGGAATGTGTACTTGGACAATATGATAAGTTTAATAGAAAAGAGAGAACGATCTATTATTTGAGTAAGATAGATTGTGAGTTCAGGTACATAATGGTAGAGAAGCTTTATTATGCACTTATATAGGTTACAATTTTTTTTTGATAATGCATGTTATATTACACTATATAGTTGATTTCAAAGTTAGATCCTCTTATATATATCTTTAAAAAGCCTTATTTATCAAGTAGAATAACAAGATGACAATTATCGTTGGCTAAGTATGATGTAGTGTATATGACAAGAAAAGTCATGAAAGGAAGTGTTATTGTTGATCATTTGAAAAACAATACAATTAAAGATTATAAGCCTTTTGAATTTTGATTTCCTAGATGAAGATCTGGTGGTGATAGCCAAAAAAAAAGAAAAAAGAACCAAACTGGTGGATAATTTATTTTGATGGAGCAGTGAATGTATATGGTAGTAGGACAAGATGATTTCTCCTAACAGAAAAAATACCCTATTTCGATCAAGCTGCAGTTTGAGTTTACTAATAACACGGTTGAGTATAAAGCTTGTATCATTGGATTAGAAGCTACATTAAAATTGAAGACAAAGAAACTTAATGTCTGGTGACTCAATGCTAATAATTTTCCATGTGAAAGGAGAATGGCAAACAAAAGATGAGAATTTGAGACCAAATTAAGAATATCTATCTAAACTAGTAAAAGAATTTGATGAGATAAAATTCACTCATATGAAAAGAGACAAAAACCAATTTGCTAATGCTTTGGCCACTTCAGCTTTCATGGACAAAATTGATTATAGAAACAAAATGCAACCTATGTTTATTGAAGTCAGAAAATCTATGGCACTACTTGCTCAATCAAATGAGAAAAGGATAGGAATCCGTGGTATTATGATACCAAATAGTTTATCCAACACTAAAAGTACCCCCCAGGAGCATCCAATACATATATGAATACCCTGTGAAGGTTAGTCATGGAAGGTTAGTCATGGACTACTACCTTGATGCAAAAGTGTTATACAAGAGGTCATCTAAAGAAACATTGTTGAGATGTTTGAGATGAGATATAAGCAAAAAAAAATAAGCCAAGAAATTCACGAAGGGATTTGTACAACTCATACTAGCAGAGATATAATGGCTAGGCAAATATAGAGGTTATGGTATTTCTAAATGACCATGGAAAGAGATTGCATAGAATATGTAAGAAAATGTCGCAAATATCAGGTGTACAGTGATAAGATAAATGTGCTTCCAACTTTTCTATTCAACTTGACATCTTCATGGCCATTTGCAATGTGAAGGAATTGATGTAATTGGGCTTGTCAATCCAAAAGCTAGCAACAAACATCCATTTATCTTAATAGCCATTGACTATATCACAAAACAGGTGGAAAGCCAATTCATATGCTTATGTAACCTAGAATTAGTGAATAGATTTATTGAACGAGATTTAATTTGTTGATATGAAGTACTTGAAAAGATAATGACTGATAATGCTGATAACTTCAATGAAAAAATAATAGTAGAGCTTTGTATAAAATAGAAAATTAAGCACTTAAACTCATCTTTATATAGGCAAAAAATGAATGGTTTTGTAAAAGTTTCCAACAAGAATATCAAGAAAATTATGCAAAAGATGGTAGTCACGTGCAAGGACTGGCATGCAATGCTTCCTTCTGCTCTAAATGCATATTGCATCACAATAAGAACATTTATAGGAGCTACATCTTATTCCCTAGTTTACAAGATGAAAACAGTAATGCTGCTAAAAGCATAAATCCCATATTTAAGGGTATTTATGTAATTAAAACTTAAGGAAGCTGATTGGGTCAAGATGAGATACAAGCAATTAAATTTAATTAGTGAAAAAGGGTTAGCTATAATCTGTCATCACCATTTATATCAATAAAGAATGGCTAAAGCATATGACAAGAAAGTCAGATATAAGGTGTTTTAGGAAGGAGATTTAATGCTAAGAATGATCTTACCTCTACCTGATGAAGATTAGAATAAGTAGGCACCCAACTACGAAGGCCTATATGTAGTGAATAAAGCCTTCTTTAGGGGAGCTCTGTTATTGACAAGAATGGATGGAGTTGACTTGCCTAGGCTTGTGAAATCTGATTTTGTAAAGAAATAATATACATAGTGTACTCATCTTTATTAAATTAATAAAGTTTGGTTATTCATTCTCGTTACATGTGTATTTTGAAAATGATCTCAAAAGGCTCAATCAAATTTTTTTTTTCAAAAATCATTCTCTTCTAAACAAAGGATTTCAAGATTTGACTTTGACTAATGATTTTAAAAAAATCAATGATTTGTTAAAAGCAACAATTAACCTAGCAATTCCCTAGGAGATGACTAAATACTTAGAAACCTAAATGGATGACCCAACCATTAAAGTTTGTTGTGTAAAAGCTACATGAAACAAAGATGATGAAGTTTTCATGATTTATGAACTCGCAAAACAAATCTGTACAAATTGCTACAATAATGAGGTCAAAATTTATCAGTCTTAATCAATCTTGCTTAAAATGAAAAAAGATTATTTTTTATATCCCCTAAAAATGAATATGTCCCTTGCAGTCCTAAATTGAGTTGAAGTGATATTTTTTTACTTTGTAAGATAACCTTGGCTAGAACCATTCCCCACACTGGAGGTAAGTATTAGAAAATGATGAGAATGAAGATATTTGAGAATGTCCACTAATGATGAGAAAGTGGTTAGAAAACTAAAAAAAAGAATAACATACCCGTGAACAAAATTCACGAGATCTTAATTAAGGCTATAAAATA